GTGGTTCCTCTCTGCCGCACCGTCGGTCTGCAAGATGGCGGCCCCAATGGCGGGCGGCTGATGGCGGTCCGCGGCGCGCGTTGATGGCGTGAGCGGGCGCGCTTGGAGAACCGCCGCCACGTGTTGCTCGCCATTCCCGCCAAAAGATGTCCGCGCAGTTGAAATGGCGGGAATCGCCAAGTCATTTTGGCGGGAATCTGCGGGGCGCGCGTGCTGAATGTCCGTCGACATCCCCGCTCCTCCCGATGTGTTGATTTCTGCCAGGATGGACGCGGCGGCGAGCAGCAGCTCTGCCAGACGGGAGTGCGCCTCACGGAGTCCAGCATCGGTCCCCGGTCGCTTGTCCGGCGCCCTCGGCGGGTCCTGCGCCATCGGCATATCCTCGTCCTCTCCCCCCGACGCCAGCTGGCCCGAGTCGTCAAGATTATCCTTGCGGTCAATCCCGTGGGTCCGACGGGTCTTCCTTGTATCCATGTCTGGAAGACTGTTTCACTTCTGACGCCAGTTGAAGTATTCGGAATGACGGCAGGAAACCACTTGACGGGTAGCACACTTTTTATTAAACCTTGACTTGTCACGATACAACGTGTGGTCTCTATTTCTCACACTACACACACTTCACTGACGCGTGTGGTCACTACTTCTCCCGCTACACACTCCACTGACACGTGTAGTTACTATAGCTCACGCTGCATGCTCACACTGCATGCTCACACTACACTCCAGCCCCGTAACGTCCGTGGAGCCTACAGACCCACCCCGGCTTGGGCGTGGGTCACAACCTCTGGGTCCCGAGAGCCGGCCCTCATACGGACGTTTGGCCCCGGGTCCCAGGGTCCCGCCTCTGGGTCACACAGAGCCCCGGCCCTTGCAAGGACAGCGAGACTAGGTGCCGCAGGGCCTGATCTCTTCCTCCTCCGTCTTCAGTCTTCGCTGGTCACCAACCCCCCGTGCGCTTGTGCGCACCACCTTATATACCCCCCGCTCTCGGGAGATGGGGCGTATGCGGACCTCGACGTGAGCATCCCCCTTAGTTGACCAATCCCCGCGCGCTTGCCCCAGGATCCCATCGCTGTCAGCGCGCGTCCCATCGCTGTCCGCGCGCGTCACCGATACCCAGCCAATCACAGCCTCATAACCCCTGACCCCGCGCTGACCCCTGATCCTTCGCCGTCAGCGCGCGTCACCAACACACACAGCCAATCACTACGCGCTGGCACATGATCCTTACCCCAGCGCGTATCACCACTACACCTGTAACAGGCGATAGGGGCAAGTGCTGTTTGTAGCGTGTAGCAGCAGCGCCTATGAAGGCTACCGGCACTGTGGCACACACAGAGGAGGGAGGGTGGCCAGCACCGTTCCCGGCCGCCTTTGTCTCCCTAGTGGCGATGTTTACACACCGCACCAGGCACTCATTTGAGGCTGAGTCGACCTAGGGGAGGCCCAGTGCCGTTTCAAATTATCGTCACTGGTGTTGGCCCTTAGCAGGAATCGAACTCGGGGGGTCAGGTTCGCAAGTGCAGCGTGCTAACCGCTAGACTACCATTCCCACTACACACATGTAATAAACCTTCTCGAGACAACTTCTGGAATCAGTCCTTTATTTTTCCACTTCCACAGTTACACACACTCCCCGTTGCTGACAGGCAACAAGAAGCGGGCAGAGAACCAGCTAAGTCCCCTCCGCGCACGTGGCACCCAGAGCCCCGTACGCGCGTGACTCCTGCTCTCTTCGTTCCCAGGTCTGCTCCCGACTCCTCCGTCTCTCCTCCTCTTAATCCCTGGGTCACGTGGTACTCCTAAGCCAATCCTCTGTAGTCAGCGTTGACCATTCCAGATGATTCCCCGTCAATCCCGGGACCATGCCTCTGATCCGGCTTCCCATTAGCTGAGGCCCCGATCGGCCAGGCCAATCACCCCCGCTAACATGCCGTGATCATGCCGAGGACATGCTCCCTGGCTCTCCCCTCATTGGCTACAAAGCGGGACCGGCAAGCCGATCACCACGTGAGCCATACATGGCTCTTATTACACACACACTGTACACAACTACAACTATACACATCACACAACCACACACTACACAATTCACACACTACACACTACGCTACATACACTTCACACACACACTACACACACAACACATACACAACGCATACACTACATACACTACACACACTACACTACATACATAAGACACACGCATTGCACACAATACACATACACTACGCAATAAATACACTACACACATATGCACACTACACACCATACTACTCACATTACACACACTACACTACCCACACTGCAGATACACACCACAAACACACTACACACGCACTACACACTTAGCACACTACACACGACACTACACACCATCACTACACTATACACTACACACACTACACACACCACACACACACTACAAATGTAGTGAGTCCAACTGAGTCGCAGACGTTGTTCTTTATAGGCAACACATTTATTGTAACACGTTAACACGAAGGGGTAACTACCCTTTCACCAGAAACAGCCTAGGGTGGTGACCACCCAGCTAACTTCTCTATACGGACCACCCAGCTAACTTCTCTATATAGGAGGAGTTACAGCTACAAAGGGTCGGGTCCTCACTCGGGTCCCCGACCACGTGTTGATGCCTCGTAGGACGTAGAGCTTCCAGCTTGTAGACGTAGGGCTCACAGCTGTCAAACGAAGAACCAGGTCCCTCACAGCGACCTGCCTTATACTCTCCCCCCCAGAGTCAGGGCTGCTGCACCCAGGCCCTGCCCTCTCCCCGGACACGTGATCACCCCCTAGCCCCCCCCCCCCCCACCTGGGCCCTCTCTGTGGACACTCTGGATCACGTGTCTACGGGGTCAACTAGAGTGCCATGGCCCGGGGAAACCCTGTCCCTGGGCTGACACTCTCCCGCTCCCCCTAGTAGGAGACCACACTGCACGCTATGCGAGGTGCCCGCGCTATCCCAGAGCTCACCAAGCCCCGCTAGGGCTGGTACTACACCCACCTACGTGGTGTATGCGATGATGGTGCATCGCACGCCATGGCCCTCCCGGGCTGGCACCATACAGTGACATCCCCGATGTCACTACACACACACACTATACACATAGCGCACACACACACTACAGACACTGCACACACACCACACACACTACACACCACATACACACTACACACACCACACACTACACACACACAATTTACACACAACACACACTACACACCACACACACACCACATACATACACTACACACACACTACACACATGACACACAAACACTACACATACCACACACACTACAGACACTGCACACACCACACACACACTACACACACACTACACACACAGACACTACACGTACACTACATGACACATATGTAGTTACACAGTTCAGAGACATGAGTAATTGGAGGCACCTTCCTTTATTTTTACACGCGATGGCGACTATACAGACCCTAGATGGGTGCACACTTTGTGTATATTTAACACACATAACCGTCTATCGTCTGCGTCACTATCCGACACGGCGAGGGGATCCACTCCTAGCAACAGCCCCGAGCTCTCGCTCAGGGCCCCCTCTCGTGCTCCCAGCGTGGCCTCGCTCCGCCCTGGCCACGCCCCCCTTCTGGAACCTACCAGCGGGTCCCCAGGGGCTTTAAGCTGGACCCCTCCATGGACTCTGCCCTTAGTTGTCATCCACCGTTTAGACTGTCGCCTGCTGACGTGTGTACTGCCGTACGCTGAGGTCACCGCTTTCCGTCAGCAGCCTAAGCTGTTACTCCGCATCCGCCGTGACGCTTATGGCGTGTAGTACGTCACGGCGAATACACCCAGAGTGTTTTTTTTATTAACCAGTTATGGCTCCACTGAGCTATGTAGCTCATTTTCAGAAGCGGACCTGGTGATCACAAACGTAGAGGGCGGTAGATGTCATCGACACGTGGAAATGTACAGCAGCAGCAGCAGCTAAACAACTTTCTCAATGCGTGCTGTTGATTCGCAATGTGGAGGGGAAACAACGGAGGACCCGGAGAGAAATCCACGTGACCATGGAAAAGAAAAGATGCACACTCAAAATACACTGCTGGCATCAGGATTGGGATCGAACTCACGACCTCCTATATAGCAGGTGAGGGAGCTAGCATCTCCTAGCAACCGTGGTGCCCAAGTACTGACTAAGGCGGCTGGCCAGATTACTTTTTCTTTTTCCTGTGGTATGTGGAGGCGATAGATGCCAGATTTGTGCTGATGTTTGACAGGTGACGCCTCAACGTTCGGAACGTCATTGGGTGGGACAGACACAGGCAGCTTGAGTGGGAGGCGAAGTTACAGTCGAAATCACGTGGGCAAGATGGCATCAGACTTGTAGATACACGGCATGGTTCTTTGATGACTTCGTGTAATCAATAATCGTGACAGTCTAAAGGATATATCAATACATTTCTGGATGAAGGGTTTGCCATGCTATCAGTCGTGGGAGTTGTTTGACGATACCTCTCCATGATCGTCAGTGTGTGTCAGTGAAGTTGGGGAGTGAGCCCCAGGACTGTTTTTTGATAGGGTACCACTTAAAACTAGAATTATTTTATTTTACCAGGTAAAGCCCAATGAGCTATGAGCTAGGTTTTCAGAAGCGACCTCCTGGCTATCACAAATGACAGCTCTACGAAGTGGCTTTTAACGTGGAGTTTTTTTAGCATCAGCCAAACGATCCAAAATTTGAGTTTCTAAATGCCACCGATGTTAGACGTGATGAGGATCTAAACACGAGTCGCTGGGTTCAGTGCACAGTGCATAAATCACTGCATTGCTGTGCGCTTAAAAAAGTGCATTAAAATACAATTCACTCTTCATCGTAGGCAGCGGGTCTTATGATATGATAACGAGTTTTTAATATTAAGTGGCGCGCTCTTGAGATATAAATTGACATTTAACCGTGTCACCCGGTAGCGATGTGTGATTGTGTTTTGTGTTAAACAGGGAGGCGACAGGAAGCTGCTCAAGACGATTCACCACCATCACCACCACCTCGTCATGAGGATGAGGTGAGCTAACTATTAAACTATAAACTATTTTTAGTATCAGGTAAGGCCCCACTGAGCTATGTAGCTCTATTTCAGAAGCCACCTGGCCATACAAAACACCTCAACGAAGTGGCGGATATCATCACCAGGTGGAAATTTATAGCAGCAGCCAGATACTCTAAACGCATGACGGTGAATCTAAATGTGGAGGGAAAAACAGGAGGACCTGGAGAAAAAATCCATGCCAGCTCGTGGATCGAACGCACGACCTCCTGCATGCCAGGCGAGGGAGTTCACATCTCCTAGCCACCTTATATGGGTATGTAAGTGTGGAGTCACCGGCCTTTATCGTGCAGGTCACGGGACAGACTCGGGTGCCATGGGTTGAGCGACTGGCTGATGTACCACCTGTGCCCTCTACTGTGCCAACTTACTTTGTTTTAGCCACCCGGTGCTCCACTCATTGTTGTGAGCATTGCTCTCTGCCCTCTGTTGTTGCTGGAGGGCGACTGCCTCCAACTGCCCAGTAGCGTCCTTCACGAGCCTCCTCCACTGAGGCCGATCTTGACATTATTGGTACCAGTTACTAGCAAGTCCACTCAGCTCCACATCCTCTTGTACCACATCACTCAATATTTTCTCTAGCCCATGCCGGGCTCGTTTAGCTCCCTCTATCCAGCTAAACAGAAGCTGCTTGGGAATGTGGCGGCTGGCCATGCGGGCTACATGACCCAGCCAACGCAGCTTTGCCTGCCAGAGGACCTCACTGATGGGACTGTGCCAGGATCTTTCAAGGATGTGTGAGATCCTAACATAATCCAGCCTGGTTTAACCCAGGATATGTCGTAGGCAGGCCAGCCTGAATGTTTAAAACCAGCGCAGATGTTCCTTTAGAAGGCTCCACGTTTCGCAAGCATAGAAAAGGCAGGGCATTACATGGCCAAGAAGACATGGGGCTACGTGTGGAGTGAAAGATTAGGTAGCTTCGAAACAACGCTACACAGCTGTTGAAAATACAATGCCAGCGAAACCTCAGCTGTCAATCCTTAGCTGGTCACAACCACACTGCCCAAATATGGAAACTTCTCCACTATCTTCACAAATACCCCATCGCTCATGAGGAGTCAAGGGAGAGGACAATTTGATGATATAAATACCCATTCAGGTGCTCTGTCTTTTTGGGGCTGATGGTAAGGCCCCCGTCTTTTAGTAACAGGCTCCAGCTTCAACAATAGCGTTTACAAATTCTTTAAAGGGTCTGGAGAAATCACCAGGTCATCCACATAATATGATTGACCAATAGGGAGCCGTCCTTTAACAGGATCCAGGCATCGATCACCCACCCATTGTTATCTATAATAAATCAAGATTCCCCTGGTACATCCATGGAAATCCTCTCGAACACTGTGGTCAAAGAAGATGTTAAATATTGTAGGGGCCAGAGGACATCTCTGTTGCACTCAAAGGTGAAAAGAAAATCGCTCCGACACCCGGACAACCAACTTTACCTGGGCCTGCCCACCATCATGAAGGTCCTTAATGACTGTGAGCAGAAGGCTAGGACTCCAAAAGTACAACGAACAACGCAGAGGCTTGGTCTATTGATGGTATAATCAGCCTTGAAAAGGTCAATAAAGCAGAGATGTAGGTCCTGTTGGAAATCCCTTACACCTCTCTTGGAGCAGACTGACAGACAAAATGACGTCCATGCAAGGACGTCCAAGTCTGAAACCACATTGAGGCTCTGCAAGCCTCTCCTCAGCATGTCTGGCAAGGCGATGTTGAATCATTCTTGCCAGTACCTTTCCTGCGCATATTAAGGAAAGTAGATGCCACGGTAGTTGTTGAAATCAGTGCAGTCCCTCCTTCCAATCCTGCGGAACCCGTCCTGTGAACCACATGGTGGTAACGATGTCATCCCGGCAGTCTGCATACAAACGGCACCCTCCCTCGGCAGTTCTCTTGAGAGGTCATCTCTCCCAATCGCTTCACCCGGGTTCAAGCTTCCGGAACGCCCTTCGCACTTCCTCAATACCGCTCGCTCACACCGCACCACACACACACACAGACTTATGCACTCACTCACGTACCCAGCCCCTTGTTGCTGCACACGAGGGGCGAGCGTTGCCACTTGCGCCATCGCCCACCCGAGCTGCCCGGTCTAACCGACTGCGCTGTGTCCGTGGGCGGCGCAGTACGAGGCGCTGGGACAGAGGGAGAGCGTCTATGACAGCCTGGATCCGTCGCAGGTTCAGACAACAAACTTCTCCTCCAAGACTCGACCCGGACGTGGGCAGGGAGCGACTCGAGTCCACCATCCAAGGGGTGAGCCAAGACTGAGGGGATCTCCCGTCTAGAAATACCAATGGCTTCTGCAGGATCTGAGACATGGAAATACGATGTAAAGCTATTGGTCCTATGTGAAGATATGGGTCTCTATGTGATGCTATGGGTCTCTATGTGAAGTTATATGTCTCTATGTGATGCTATGAGTTTCTATGTGAAGCTATGGGTCTCTATGTGAAGCTATAGGTTTCTATGTGAAGCTATGGGACTCTGTGTGAAGCTATGGGTCTCTACGTGAAGCTAAGCGTTTCTATGTGACGCTATGGGTCTCCGTGTGAAGCTATGAGTATCTTTGTGAAACTATGAGTCAATGTCTAAAGCTATGGGTCTCTGTGTGATGTTGAGGTGTCTCTGTGTGATGTTTTGGGTATCCATGTCATGCTATGGTGTCTCCATTTGATGCTTATGATCGCGCAACTTTTGCGCTGCTCTAATGACACGGATAGCCGGGTGCGTTAATGGTACTTGGTTCATGGTAGACCGCAGGTAAATTCGTAACGATTCAGAGGACCACTGTCGGATTGTCGCTCGCCCCCGACGGGATTTGTAGCGAATTAAAACCTCGTGACGGAGTCCACGGAACGCTGCGATCGCCGCTCGCGCTGCGTGAACTTTGCATCGACGTTGCCCAATCATCGATGTTAAGGGGCCATTCTGTTGAGGCGCCACCACTCCTGTGTGATTTGGTATTGTATGATGTGCGCGCGTGTGTGTCTGTGTGTGTGTTTGTGTGTGTCTGTGTGTGTGTCTATGTGTGTCTCTGTGTGTGTGTCTGTGTGTGTGTCTGTGGGGAGTGGTAGTGTAGTGGTTAGCGTTTTGCTGCACTATGAAGCCGGCGACCCGGGTTCGATTTACGCTCGCGGCCAACACCAGTGACGATTATCTGAACCATTCCTGGGCCTCCCCTTGGTCGACTCAGCCTCAAATGAGTACTTGGTGCAGTGTGTAAACATCGCCACGGGGGAGACAAAGGCGTCCGGGCGTGGTGCTGGCCGACCACCCCCTCGTGTGCCGTGCCAGCCTTCATAGGTGCTGCTCGCTAACAGCACTTGCCCCTACGTTCTGTAAAGGCTATACGGGGGATCTTTGTCTTTGTGTGTGTGTTCGCGCTCTGGGTCCGCTCTGTCGTTGCGATTGTCGCCTTGCCCAAGCGCGATCCACGGGACTCGTGAGAAGTCACGTGGTCACTCTTAACTTTGGAGCTTTCGTGACTGCAGGAATTATTCTTTGGTTCTTTCAGTAAAGTCACGTATAAAGAAAAAATAATAAATTAAATAATAGCATACGACGTTTCGATTGCAACACAAGCAATCATCATCAGGTATAATGAAATAGCGACATAAAATCTAACCAGAAAATATTATAGACAGACATATAAGCAGACAGATATCACCAAGATACACACAGCGGGCAACACAGGTACAGAGAGGGGTGATCGTCTCTGTGGGGTAGCCTTAAATAGACAGAGGGGGGCGGAGGCAGCGAGAGAGAGGGGTTAGAGACAAAATTTACATGTCAATGAGTACAACAAAAAGAAGTGAACAGGCTTAGTGGGAGAAAGAAACACACTAAAATTAACCCCTCTCTGTACCTGTGTTGCCCGCTGTGTGTATCTTGGTGATATCTGTCTGCTTATATGTCTGTCTATAATTTTTTCTGGTTAGATTTTATGTCGCTATTTCATTATACCTGATGATGATTGCTTGTGTTGCAATCGAAACGTCGTATGCTATTATTTAATTTATTATTTTTTCTTTATACGTGACTTTACCGAAAGAACCAAAGAATCACGTGGTCACTATTCACGGATTCCGCGACTCGCCGCCCCGTGCCCTCCACGCTGAACTCGCTCCCTTCGCTGCGTCCCCCCACGCTGGACAAGGATAGCACGCGAAGAGCTTCGCGGCTCATCGGATTCCTCCTCCACAGAGATTGCGAACGCGGCCTCGGGGTGCCGAGTGGCGCCCTCCCATGGGCCCAGGTGTTCGTAGTGCCACTGCTACCGATGGTAGGCGATGAGTAATTGTGTTGTTGCTGTTATTGTGTCACACAGGCGGTCGACAGGCTTCTGATCAATACGAAAATCTTCCTCCTGAGCACGAGGTGAGAGTTCGGCTCTTAGACTCTAGGTGTGGGCGCTACGGTGCGGCAGGGGATGTTTACTACCTCGCCGAGTGTGGAGGAGGTCGTGGGTTCGATCCCGGACCCTGACGTCCATATTGGCTAGAATATGTTAACCAACTCGCCTGGTGTACAGGAGGTCGTGGATTGGATCCAGGACCCTGACGCTCACATTGGCTAGAATATGCTAACCACCTCGCCTCGTGTACAGGAGGTCGTGAATGCAATCTACGACCCTAACGCCTGCTGCATATTTGGAGTCTGCGTGTCTCTCTCTCTCTCCCAGTGGTTGTGTGAATTTTTCTCCGGGGCCTCCGGTTTTTTTCCCTCCACATTTAGAATCAACGTCACCACGCGTTTAGAGTGTCTGGCTGCTGATATCAATGTCCAGGTCGCTTCTGTAAAAGAGCTACACAGCAGCTCAGTGGGGCCTTACCTGGTGACAATAACAACGTTTTCATTTTATTTGTGGTGTTTTGTTCAATGCCTTTCCTTCCCCTGCCGCCAGTGCCGGATTATCCTTGTAGCAAAAGTAGCTACATATCTAGCTACATATGTAGCTACATATGTAGCTACGGACCTCGCACTTTCAAATGCCCCGCACTAAATGCTTTCAGACTATAAAAACTGGTTCAGTGATTCTGCACTTGCTCTATTACTATACTCTTTGGATCTTTCGGTAAAGTCAGCTAGGTAGAAAAAAATAAAATAAAAAATCACGACGTTTCGATCTCAACACAAGCGGTCGCCCTCAGGCGAAAAATTCCAGTAGCAGAACTGCTGAACCAGGAAGAAAGCAGCGAGAGAGCTGTTACAACAAGGGGTTATATGTGTTTGAGTTAATGCCATCATGGATAAAACCACATTCAACAAAATCCAGGACCTTCTTAATGATGGCATTCATTCCAAAATCAACAAAGATCCAAAATCAACAAAACATTCACCCTACGTCCTTCCCTGTGGAAGAGATACAAATGTAGCTACAGGCCCCGCATTTTCAAGGGACCCGCGTTAAATGCTTTCAAGTTATCAATTTTCAGCGATTCTGCACTTGCTCTATTACTATAGTACTATACCGCCTTCAACTTTTATGAACGACTGGGTTAGCGATTTGTCGTAATGAACGGCTGTATAACAAAAATACAATTACTTTACTATGCAAGTAAAAAAAAAATGTGTTTTAATATTTACGTGTTTTTAAATCCTTTATATTAAGTTCGCTTGCTTGCTTGCTTGCGTGCTTGCTTGCTTGCTTAGGACCGTGCAAATCTTTCGGTCGTTTTTTAACCCACTTCCCGTGATCCAATCGAGCTGACATTTTGCACACAGACTCGTTGTGCGTGACAATTAATTTTCGTGAACATTTTCTTCCAAAATGTTACACTCTTTAGGGAAAAAAATTTCAATATTTAATTACCAATTGCTTAATGGTAACAGACAATCATCTGACCCATAGGTGGCAGCCATCTCAAGCCAGAGGACGAGAGGACTCTAGCCGCCCGTTTCATGATGATGCAAATGTTGACTAACCACATGGCATGAAATCCCTGCCCCCACGCTGTACAATGGAGACTATTTATAGAGCAGTTAAATTGAAGCCGCCAGGTTCTTGAAAGTGGTAAAACGGGTCAACGCTAGTGCCCTCGGGAATATACGGGGCATGTCAAGAGGTGATCTTACATATGTAGTGGTGGTATTGACGTGCGCCGACAGTGATGGATCACGGGGCGCGGGGTTGGGCACGCGATGTGGGCGTGGCATGGACGCGCGCGCCGGTGGTAAGGCGCGCTGACACAAGCTGGGAAAGGAGGATCGTAGCGAGTGCGCAGTGATTGGTCAGATAAGTGGGTACTCTCAGCGACGTCCGCAGGAGGGGTATAAAGGGAGACGCGCGAGAGCACTCGTGGTCAGTGTTAACCAGTTGAAGACCGAAGACGGGGTGGAGGAGGTAGTGGCCCGAGACCCCTAGTCCCGCCGTCCTTGTGGGGACCGGGGCCCTGTGTGGCTCGGAGCCGAGACTGGGGGGACCGTGGTCCGACGCCCGTGTGGGTCGGGACGGTGGTACCCAGAGCCGAGACGGGCATCCCGGCTGGGTGTGTCCCGGAAGGCTACGGGGCGTAAGAGCCCGTGTCAGTACAGCTGAGTGGGTGTTGGTCACCCGTGTAGCTGAGTGGGTGTTAGTCACCCGTGTAGCTGAGTGGGTGTCCGTCACCCGTGTAGCTAAGTGGGTGTTGGTCACCCGTGTAACGAAGTAGGGTGTTAGTCACCCGTGTAGCTGAGTGGGTGTCCGTCACCCGTGTAGCTAAGTGGGTGTTGGTCACCCGTGTAACGAAGTAGGGTGTTAGTCACCCGTGTAGCGGAGTGGGTGTCCGTCACCCGTGTAGCTAAGTGGGTGTTGGTCACCCGTGTAACGAAGTAGGGTGTTAGTCATCCGTGTAACTACAAGTTGGTGAAAATAAAAAGTGTGCTACCCGTGAAGTCGTCTCCTGCCGAGTTACTATTTTACAACTGGCGTCAGAAGTAAACCTGTCTTCAAGGAGAATGGACACAAGGAAGACTTCTCGTTCCCACGTGCAAGACCGGGGAGACGACGACGTACCGGTGACACCACCCGCGGGAGGAGAGGACGAGGAGTTGCCGCCGATGCAGCACTTCGCGGAGATGGCCGATGCTCCGCCCGCCTCCGACACCAGCCTGCAGGACGCTCACTCCCGCCTGGCAGAGTTGCTGCTCGCCGCCGCTGCGATCTTGGCGGAGATCTCCGTTCCAGCGGCCGGTGGAACGCCTGCGGGGTTGGAAGAGGCGGCGCGGCTGGAGGGTTCCCGCCATAAGGCGTTTCGCGCCAAAAGTTTGGGAGTTGGCGCCATTTTTGAGGGTCCGCCTCCGGTTGGCGGGAAACGCGGACACCACGTGGCCAGAGGTCTCCACACAGCGCAGCCCGCGTCATCGGCGAGCGCCGGAGCTCTCCATTTTGCGCCTGCAGAGGGAGCCGACATTTTCTACAACCACAGCGGCACGCGGGAAAATCGTTCCAACGACGACGACGACGATCGAGTTCTCCAGCAACGATTGCCCGCGCTGTCGGTGTTCAAGGCGGACGGGGGCGACTGGGGAGCCTTCCAGCGACGGTTCATCGCGCATCAAGAAATGTCGGGGTGGTCCGACACCACTGCCCTGCGCGCGCTGCCAGCGATGCTCGACGACGACGCGCTTGCGGCCTTCACGTCTGCCCCGAGGTCGTCCCGCTCAACGCTCCAGGCCGCGCTGCACCTGTTGGCCAAGGTGTTCAGGCCGCCCTCGACCTGTCGCCACCAGTTCTACGATCGGCGGAAGGTGGTTGGAGAAACAACGCTCGCCTATCGCACGGCGCTGCTCGCCCTGGCGGATTCAGCTTTTCCCCGCATGGACAAGGAGGGGAAGGACGCCATGGTGACGGAGCAGCTGCTGGCGCTGGCTCACGGATTGGGAGTTCCCATTAATACGGCGGACGAAATGGACATCTGCTCCCTGGGGATTGCCACGCGTATCCACGCTTACGAGGTCCTACAGCGGAAGCCGACGGCCGTCTGCGCATCGGTGGAGAACGGGGCACCGGCCGCCACGATCATCGGACCTCAGCCTGCTGTGCCTCGGGAGGAGGCCTTCGCTGGTTCGAGGCCGGGGGAGTGGAGAACGGGAGGTCGTTCGCCCACACGCTCCTCCCGCAAGCTGGAGCAACCGAAACCTACGACGTCCCTCGTCGTCTGCTACAACTGCGGCCTTCGGGGCCACGTCGCGTCTGGGTGCCGAGCCCCGCGTCAACGCACCGCGGGACCACGTCCGGACGACGACCAGGGACTCAAGACATCCCAACTGAACCCGGCAAGTCGCGGCACCTCACACGTTCGGTCCACACGCACGGCACGTTCGGGTTGCCGCTTAGCGGGGGGGGGGTCCGTGTATGGGCGCCGGGGGTTCGGTTCGGCGAGAGGGGTCCGCGTACGGCCCGAAGGCAGTCGAGTGGTCCGAATTGGCCCACAGGATTGTGGCTGCATCGGCCGGGTCGTCCGTGGTAACGGGGTACATTGACGGGGTTGAGGTCCGGGTGCTCGTGGACACGGGTGCGTCGGCCACTATTATTTCGGACCTTATTTATAATATTCTTCCCGTACAATGTCGACCACTTCTGCCGGTGGACGTACCATTTTACGCGGCAAACGGGGGATCTTTGGGAATCATCGGCCAGATTCGGGCGAATATTTGTATTGGCGACATTAAATTGGCGGGTCCTATTTTTGTATCATCATCGTTGGCCGTTCCTTGTTTACTAGGCACGGACTTTCTGTCTAAAATGCCCATAAAAATTCTCATAGACCAGGCCTGCATTGAGCTTCCGTCGGGTCGGCGGGTTGAGTTTTTGAAGAGTCCAAATAAGATACGCACGGCTTGTGCGACGGTGCAGGCGCTGGCAACCCGGACTGTACGGGTGCCCCCGGGATCGCAAATGTTGGTACCCCTTCGGTTGAGAAAACCCCTTGGGGCGGATGCGGGGGCGCAGGGAGTTCTATTGGGGCCGTCTAACAGGGCTAAGGGGGACCTCGACTTAGCGGTGGCCCAGACCATGGTGAGGGGGGACAGTGAGCCGTTCGTTGTGGTCCTGAATACGGGGTCGCGGCCGGCCGTAATTACGCAGGGAACGGTGCTCGCTCACGCCGCGCCGCTACCCGTCGAGGAACAGCTCGTTGCTCACGCCGATTCAAATGTCGATACGCATCCCCAAAGTGAGGAGGGGACGGAGTGGTTGGACTCGTTGTGTGCCGGGTCCAGTACCTTGTCCAGTGTGCAGTTGGGTGCATTGAGGGGCTTGCTGCTCGAGTTCGCTGACGTGTTTAGCAGGCACAAGTACGACATTGGCTGCACAGACCTGTTGCGCCACCACATAGAGACTGGGGACGCGGCCCCTATTCGACAGAATCCCTTTCAGCTCAGTCCAGCCGAGAAGG